AGGTTTCCAAGTGGTAGGAAATACTTTATTCATGTCTATGAAGTGGTAATTTAAGACTTAGCTACAAAAGGTAGCTCGGGAAAATTAACTTTCTTTGAACCCGGAGCCGTAAGTAATTTCACTCCGAATCAAAATGCTGTTATTACTTAGTTCCTCGTAGTCTGGGACCACGAGGCACTTAGGGAAATTAATTGGGGCTCCAAGTTGATCCTGCCCGGAGCGGGCCCGGGCGCTATCGCGGAAGGCAAGGCGGGGGCCGCTCTGGCTGAGCCGGCTCCTTGTCCCCGTGCCTGTCCCCGTGCCTCTGCCTGTCCCTGCCGGCCGGCGCAGCCCTTCCCGGGCCGCCCGCTTCCGCAAACCTCCTCCCGGGGGGCAAACCTGCAGCTTACGTTTTGAGAAGTACGGGGGCTTTTTTCCTTATATCCCACTGGGACTTGTTCACGTGCGACCGGTTGTTTTGCCTGCTGTAATTATGAAGGGTGGCTCGGTAGAAGCAAAGGGAGAAGTCGGTGGTTAGTGAACTCGAAACGATGGTGATTTGCAGTCAAAACAGGTGGGAAACTTCTTTTCCCTTTCTTAGTAAGCGCTATAAAAACTGGCCCGCGGTGTCGTGGAGAAGATTGCAAGGATCGAGCGTTAGCGTTCGAAAATGAATAGAGAACGCGTCCCAGAGGGGAAGTTCGTTAAATAAAGTCATCAATTTATCTGAGAAATGAACTGCCAATTTTTAAACCAAAGTTTTATTTTCACTGGAAAACAGTCTTACTGAATTGTTTAAAAGCGTTTAAGCAGACCAAGTCCATGCAAGATATCCAGAGAAATCAGAAGGTGGCATGGAAAGCACCAATGTCATGTAGTTTTACTTCCAGTACGTTTTTGTGAACAAGTAGTTTCTCCCTCTGGCGCGAACGTTGGTACCTGCGGTAGAGCCTGTTCCCTCTTCCGTCTCCGCCCTGCGTTTCATTATGTGCTTAATTTTCCATAGCGATTCCCTGCGTGGGCTCCCGAGCCCTTTTGGCTGAAATTTTAGTACTGAAATCGTGCAACTCCCCTAAGGAGCATCGCAGCTATAAAAGCCGCCCTGGGTTTTGGCCGTTGCTGCCCAGTGGCTCTTGCTCTGTCTGTTCCTCCTCAACGAGCAGCCTCTCTCTGCCTACAATGTCTGTTTGTCAGCAGCTGCTGGGAACCGTTTTCAAAGGCCTTCTTTTAAATTACATTAGAACTACTGATTGTCCTTATTGCACCCCAGTATTTAGGCTGTAAATTATGTTTTGTAAGATAGCTCTCGGAGGGAAGCGTGGTGAGGTTACGGGCTGCAGCGGGAGCAGGCGCCTGGGATGC